TGGTGACCGCGATGACAATGGTGCTGCTGCTGATGATGATGAGGCTGATGATGCTGCTGCTGATGATGATGATGCTGTGTCTGATGACGATGCTGATGATGATGATGAGCATGATGATGTTGATGATGATGAGGATGATGCTGCTGCTGCTGATGCTGATGATGCTGATGATGATGCTGATGCTGATGCTGCTGATGATGATGCTGATGCTGATGCTGATGCTGATGCTGATGCTGATGCTGCTGATGACGATGATTATGATGATGATGATGATGATGATGATGATGATGATGATGATGATGATGATGATGATGATGATGCTGATGCTGATGCTGATGCTGATGCTGATGCTGATGCTGATGATGATGATGATGATGATGATGGTGGTGGTGGTGGTGGTGGTGATGATGATGATGATGATGAGGAGGAGGAGGATGATGCTGATGATGATGATGAGAGGAGGAGGAGGTTGAGAGGAGGAGGAGAGGAGGAGGAGGAGGAGGAGGAGACGACGTCGACGAGGTGGGGATGGAAGAGGAGGAGGAGGAGGAGGAGGAGGAGGAGGAGGAGGAGGAGGAGGAGGAGGAGGCGGAGGTGGAGAAGGACGGGGGAGGGGGAGGGGATGCGAGGTGGGGGTGTATTATGGCAAGCTCGCGCCGCGCCGACGCGGCGGCGCCATCCCGGCGCCGGTGTCCGAGGCGGGGCGCCCTGGAGTCGGCCCCTGCTGTCGTCGGGCGGCTTGGCATCGCTCGGGCGTGTGCGTTTTTTCTCGGGGAGGACCATCGAGGAGCATGTGAGGTCATCTAGCCAGAAATGCGCGCACCAAACCGAACACTTTCACGGGGAATGGGCGTCCGGGAGATGGCGAGGCGGGGTGGCGCGGCCGTCCGAGGTCGAGTGGATGGTTCGGTAGCAGATCATGTCGGCGGCGAGCGAGGGCGGAGGAAGTTTCGTGCTCGAGGTTCGAGAGGTTTTCGGACGTTTTCGTCGGTCCTCGGCGGTTTTCCAGCGACGGGATGCTTGCCAGCGGCTACACCTCACCCAGAGAGTTCTGGGGGTACCAGGATCGCCCCGAACGGCCGCCCGAGACTTGAGTTATGACCCAAAAACGAAATAGTTCGGCCGTGGCCATTTTGGCTCAAGCGATTCCTATCCAGGCTGCCACATCGCGCGGCGGCCTTGCGAGCACTCGCTCCCTGTCAGGCTTCTAACTCGACCAAGAGGCTCATTCGACATAATGCGTGAGGCGATCTGCATCCACATTGGCCAGGCAGGAGTGCAGATTGGAAACGCATGCTGGGAGCTCTTTTGCCTCGAGCATGGCATCCAGCCCGACGGCCAAATGCCCTCCGATAAGACAATCGGGGGCGGTGACGATGCCTTCAACACGTTCTTCTCCGAGACTGGTGCCGGCAAGCACGTCCCCCGCTGTGTGTTCGTCGACCTGGAGCCCACGGTGGTCGATGAAGTGCGCACAGGTACGTACCGTCAATTGTTCCATCCAGAGCAGCTCATTTCTGGTAAGGAGGACGCCGCGAACAATTTTGCGCGAGGGCACTACACAATCGGCAAGGAGATCGTCGATCTTGTGCTCGATCGGATCAGGAAGCTGGCCGACAACTGCACCGGCCTCCAGGGCTTCATGATCTACAACGCCGTCGGCGGAGGCACTGGCTCCGGGCTCGGCTGCCTGATGCTGGAGCGCCTGTCCGTGGACTACGGCAAGAAAACGAAGGTCTCCTTCACCGTGTGGGCGTGCCCGCAGGTCGCTACCGCAGTGGTTGAGCCTTACAACACGGTGCTTTGCGTGCACTCTCTCCTGGAACACACAGACGTGACCATCATGTACGACAACGAGGCGTTATACGACATATGCCGCCGCAATCTTGACATCGAGCGTCCTACTTACACCAATCTGAACAGGTTGCTGGCGCAGATCATCTCCTCGTTGACTGCGTCGTTGCGCTTCGACGGTGCTCTGAATGTGGATATTACCGAGTTCCAGACCAACTTGGTACCCTACCCGCGCATCCACTTCATGCTCTCGAGCTACGCACCAGTGATCTCTGCGGAGAAAGCGTACCATGAGCAGCTGTCAGTGGCTGAGATCACCATGTCCGTCTTCGAGCCCGCATCCATGTACGTGAAGTGCGACCCTCGTCATGGCAAGTACATGGCATGCTGTATGATGTACCGCGGAGACGTCGTGCCCAAGGATGTGAACGCAGCGGTCGCTACTATCAAGACCAAGCGTACCATTCAGTTTGTGGATTGGTGCCCCACAGGCTTCAAGTGCGGTATCAACTACCAGCCTCCTACTGTGGTTCCCGGCGGTGACCTGGCTAAGGTGATGCGTGCTTGCTGCATGATCAGCAACTCCACAGCCATCGCAGAAGTTTTCTCCCGCATCGACCACAAGTTTGACCTCATGTACTCGAAGCGCGCTTTCGTGCACTGGTACGTGGGCGAGGGCATGGAGGAGGGTGAGTTCTCCGAGGCTCGTGAGGACCTGGCGGCGCTGGAGAAGGACTACGAGGAGGTGGGCATCGAGACCGCGGAAGGCGAGGGGGAGGAGGAGGGCTACGGCGACGAGTTCTGAGCAGGTTGCCGCACAGCAGCTGCACAAGAGAGGCGCACACATAATCGCGAAAGTTTACTTGCAACTTGCAAGCGCATACCGTTGACAGACAGCTTGTGTCCACGCTATCCCGCAAAGACCGGCATGTTCTTACGCGGGAGGTCGGCCGTGTTTTCCGCGCCGACCGCTGGCTGTCCATTCACACGTCGCACCTCGACTCGAGTTGGCCGAATTGCTAGGCCGCCTCGTACAACTGCCGCCTTGCTTCGCGCTTGCAGAGACAAACAAAAACAACGAAATAATTCGGCGGCGCTCCTGGGGGGGACGTGAGAAGGAGAAGGCCTTCTAAGAAGGCGGCGGGACTTCTCAGAAGCCCTCGCGCTTTCTGTGAGGTTTGCTGTGTCTTCGGGGAAGGCTTAAGAAACTTCTCAGAAGGCCGGGGGACTTCCGAGCCTTCTGAGAGGGCCTGCTCCTTCTCGCTTCCCCCCTCGCCCGCCGCCGATCATGGGAGCCTTGCCCCAGCGCCAAACTTCTTCATCAACCCAAGGGAAGTCATTCTTGTCTGGCCGCAGAAGGGGCCAACGGCGATGTAGGGAACGGCGACGTAGGTTTCGGCAGTGCGGGAGCCCGCGGCTCGCGGCTCTCCTACAAATCGCTGTGGCGTGTTCGCTCGATCCGTTCGCAGATTCGGAGCTGTAGGAAAGCGTGGCCCGTGCTTTCCTACACCGGCTCCCGACGTCACCGTTGAGCAGCATCGCCGTCAGCCCGGCCTTGGTCAGCGGGGGCAAGCGCTGGCCCCCGATCTCACCGAGCGCGTTCCGCTGCTCGCAGAGTGCCTACTCGCAAACGTCCGAACAAAAGCACATGTCCGCTTCGATGTAACTCAGGAGGGGAAAAAACACAGACACAATGAATCGTCGATTCCCAGGAGAATAATGCGAACGTATGGGGAGTGGGGGGAAGCCAGAAACCCAGAACATGTGTGAAAACATGGGGGATCCTGGGATTTGTGCGCGCTGGTTTGTGTGCTCGTGGGCCCCCTCAGTAATCGATCGCAGATCCGCCGCGGGGCCGGGCCACCTGCGAGTGGTCACTCTGCGAGTCCTGGGGCGCGCTCGCCTGCAGAATCGCCCACTTCCTCGCCGAGCGGGGCCCTCGGGGTGCCCTCGCCCCGATCTGGGGCGCGTGGCCGTCCGCCGCCGAGAGAGCTTGCTGTGGTTGCTCTGTCGGCGACCCTGCCCCCGCCTCCGAGTCGGGGTCTCCCCCCCCTGGCAGCCAGTCCTGATGGGTCTGTTCTCCACCACCACCACCATGAGTTGGAGGGGGGGAGGAGGAGGAGGACGAGGAGGAAGAGGAAGAAGAGGAGGAGGAAGAGGAGGAGAAGGAGGAGGAGGAGAATGAGGAGGAGGAGGAGGAGGAGGAGGAGGAGGGGGGAGGAGGAGGAGGACCCCCTGCCCCTCCAACTTATGGTGGTGGTGGTGGTGGTGGAAAACAGGCCCATCAAGTCCCCTCTTGGGTTGCAAATCATCCAGAGGCGGCGACATGGGCGAAGAGCTCTGGGCCTCCTAGATGGGTCGGAGCAGATGGGGTCGGACGATTGCGCCGCATCGCCGATGCGCCGGCGGTGCGGCTCGATGTGGGGCGCGATTTGCTTCACGTCGACGTCGCCGATGCATCGCCGACGTCGACGATGCATCGCCGGTGCATCACCTATGCATCGCCGGTGCATCGCCGATGGATCGGTGATGCGGCGCGATCTTCCGACCCCATCTACTCCTACCACATCAAGGAGGCCTCTAAATACACGTATTCGCCCGGGATCCTCGCCGAAGGCACGGACCATCAACGCCTCTGGATACATCTATTGTTCTCCCATTGGCTATTCGCCCCTGTCGTCCCCCCTTGGGTTGCAAATCATGGGAGCCTTGTGCGTCCTTGTAGCTGCGTCTCTGAGGTGCACTGGCGTGGATTATAGCGTCTGGCAATCGATGAGGCAGCGCCGACCCGGCGCCGACTGATCGGCGTCGATCTAGCGTCGGTTAGTACCGACCAGCGTCGATTAGCGTCGATCCGCAAGCGCTAACAGGACGGTACGATTTCTGACATTCCAACTTGTTTTAGCCTGATCGCCAGAAATAATCTCGAGCACCAAGAACGTACCGACGCTTGAGGGTTTTCACGTGTCGGGCCCTGAGAGGCGATACTCGTTCGACACTGTTTCGATGCTTTTACGGGCGCTCGAATTTTTTTCTGGGATGTGGTCTGTCAGTACGATGGGGGCAGCATAAGGTATGGGAGGCTTCCGTGAGCTGCCACCGAAGGATCGGAGGCGCGGCGTCGGAGGCGGTCGCGTGGGGGTGTCGGCGCGGGCAGCACCGCGCGCCGCGCCTCCCGCAGACCTCCGTGGGGTGTCGCCCCGCCGATGGAGTTCCTCGACATGAGCTCCCTGCCCGTGGACCTCAGCGGCAACGGTAGGGGGGGGCAGGCATATGGGGGTGACTGCATCGGCCCCAACTCGCCCACTGATCGCCGAAAGGGGTCCGATAGCCCCACCCCGCCCAGGAAGGTGCGGATTCGCTATCGGGGGCCCATCGCCCATGCATCTGCGATGTATCGCCGATTGCAGGTCGATGTTTCCCCCCCTCTGCCTGTTCCTCCCCATCGTTGCCCCGGGACCGCGCCGCACCGGGCGGGGGGCGGAAGGTCGTCGAAGGGCCGCGGCCTTCGCCATGTTTTTTTGTGCTTCTTTGGGGGGTGCCTCCTGGTCGAGTCCCTCGTCGCCACGGCTGGATGCGCCTCGAGATTCTGGTCAGAACGCACCCTGGGAGATCGGCGGCGAGCGAGGGGGGGAAGCGAGAAGGGGCGGGCTCAGAAGGCTCGGACGTCCCCCGGCCTTTGAGAAGTTTCTGAAGCATTCCCCCAAGACACAGAAAAATCCTCAGAGGGCGCGAGGGCTTCTGAGAAGTCCCGCCGCCTTCTGAGAAGGCCTTCTCCTCCTCATTTCCCCCCCCCTCGCGCGCCGTCAAGGGAGAGGTCCAGGGGGGCAGCGTTCGGGAATTTCCGAGTGCGTTCCAGGCCCCGGGGCGGTTTCCATCAGTTGCGCCTCGCCGAGGGCTTTCCGGGGGCACCAGTCGGGACCAGAAATATTTACCTCTCACTGGTTGTTGGGGCTTGCGATCGTAGACTCCGAATTTATTCTAGACGCTGTCGAGTCTACGATCGCAAGCCTCCTTGGTAAAACCAATGAGTTGGCATTCTCGCCGAGGCCTCTTGGAGCATCTTGGGTGCCTCTGGGGGGTCTCTTGGGGCCTCTTGGGGGTCTCTTGGGAGCCTCTTGGGGGCATCCAGGGGGCTTCTTGGGGCTTCCTGGCCACCTCTTGGGGCCCTCTTGGGGCACCCTTGGGAGCCTTGGGGGCCATCTTTGGGCCATCTTGGGTGAGATCGATCACAGGAGGGGGGTCCCTAATCAGGGTCCTCCCCTCAGGAGGCCAACATGGGGCCAAAACCTTAGTAACATCAATGATTTTGGCTTCCTCGCCGAGGCCTTTTTGAACGCTCCGACACCTCGCGAACCCCCCTGTCCAGGTCCAGGGGAGGGGGTAGGGGGAGGGGTAAACCCCTCCCCGAAGGGGAAGAAGGAGGGGTGGAAGAGGAAACTCCCTAAACCACCTACGCCCAGAGGGCATGTGGGATTATTGCACGGTGCGCTCTTCGTTTCGCTGCCTGCTGCTTCCTTGGAACGCGTAAACCAAGCGAGCGTGGCCATCGCAAGATGCTGCTGGGCTCCTCGAGAACGACGCGCGCGTTGCAGATGCAGTTGCATCCTGGTACCAGAACCGTCCCGAAGCGTTGGCAGCAGCATAGGGGAGCAACAGCAGGGGGGCGCTGCGCTTCCTGGGCCTGTCCAGCCTAATTCGGCTCAGTGGCCTCCTGATCGGGCTCAATCACCCCCAATCGTTCCCACGAAGGCCTGCCTCAGTAGCAACTCGTGGGAGCCCAGCGTCTGGCAATCGATGAGAGCGCGCCTATTTAGCGTCGATCCGCGCCGCGTTAGCGTTGCTTCGACCAGAGATTTAGCGTCGATCAGCGTCGATTCGCAAGCGACGGCAGATTTTGAGGCGGGGATTTATGCAGAACCACCGCCTGGGGGATCGATCTTCGCGGACCTCCACAGGCGGTGGATGTGGATATGTTCAGTCCCCCGGGGGCCAGAATCTGTCCATATCCGCCGCCCGCTGGGGCACCAGGACGTCGGTCCCCGGGCGGTGGATATGGATACATCCCCGACGGGAGGCTCCCACGGGTCGCCACAGAAGCCGATGCAGGGCCGCCCGAGTTCGCTCGCGCTCTCCCAGCCCGTCTCGTGCCGGCTGCCCGCGGCTGATGGGCTTGTTTTCCACCACCACCACCACCACCATAAGTTGGAGGAGGAGGAGGAGGAGGAGGAGGAGGAGGAGGAGGAGGAGAGGATCCTCTCCCCCTCTAACTTATGGTGGTGGTGGTGGAAAACAGGCCCATCCGCGGCGGACGCCCGGGAGCCGCAGGCGGCACCGCCCGCGCCCTTCCGAAGGCAGCGCTCGGCGTGGCCGCTCTCCCCCCGAAGAGCCATCCCCTGGTGTGGGGTCCTTGCTTTGAAGAGACAGCGCCCCGCGTGCCTCCTCCCGCTGCCCCCCCCAGCCTCCCCATATGGGGGTCACGTGCGAACCCTACCCCTACCCCCCACGATGTCTCAGGGGCAGGGGTGGGCTTCGCTTCGCTCGGCAGCCCTCGCGCGACGTGGACCCCACCCCTCCCCCTCAGAGATCGTGGGGGGTAGGGGTAGGGTTCGCATGTGGCCCCCTATCCCCAGCCTCCCCATCCCTGCCTCTGCCCTCCGCACCCGTCAGCCATTTCGGCACACCCCTCGGGTGCTTCGTGACCCCATGGGGAGCTCCACCGAGGGCCCCAGTGGCTGCGCTCGCACGGCACCACCGCGCCCATGTCGGCACACCCCTCACACGTTTGGTGGCCCCATGAGGAGCTCCACTGAGGGCTCCAGTTGCTGCGTTCGCATGACGCCACAGCGCCCATGTCGGCACACCCGCACAAGTTTCGTGGCCCCAGATGAAGTTTCAGCGAAGGCCCCAGTGGCTGCGCTCGCATGGCGCCATCGCGCCCGTTTCGGCACACCCCTCACACGCGTTTGTATGCCACTGCGCCCTTTTCGGTAGATTCCTCACACGTTTCGTGGCACCATAGGGAGCTCCACCCAAGACGATATTCTCAACTGCGTTACTCACAACTGCAAATTGGTGGGGTCTTCCGACCGGCTAATTTGACAGACGCGCGTGCCTCGACGTCCCTCGGCGGGTTGCCACATGGCTTTCGACCGCCCACTCCCGGAGAGCTGGTGGGATCGCCGCGCCGCAGGACTTCGACAGCGGAGCCGTGGACTGGAGCGCCATGCCACCCATAGGCGCCCGGTAATACGCGCACGCACTTGCACGAAGCTTCGCCGCCGCCGCCGTCGTCCTCGCCTTCGTCTTCGTCGTCGTCGTCGTCGTCGTCTTTTCCTTCATCATTGTCGTCGTCGTCGTCGTCGTCGTCGTTGTTATCGTCGGTGTGATCGTTGTCCTCGTCGTCGCAGTAGGGTGTGGCAATTCCCCGACCCCCCCAGGAACCACCGATTTTGTATAGTTTTTTATGGTTTTGTTTTTTTCAGGTTTTCTCTGGTTGTCTGGGGGGGGAGCCTCCGACAAACCTCCTGCTCGGGGGTTTTCGGGGGGAAGCCTTCGAACAAAAAACCCACCCTGGGTTTTTTCGGGGGCTCTCTGGCCATCCCAGGCTCCGGGCGGGAAACCAACGAAAAACCTTGGAGTGTTGTTTTTTGGTCCAGGTTTTTCTGGGGGGTTCTCTGGCCACCCTGGGCGGGGGTTCTCAAACCACACACTCTCCACTCTGTTTTTTTGCTGGTTCTTTTCTGGGTTTCTCTGGCCACCCCAGGCTTTTGGGGGAAAACCCACGAACAACAACCCACTCACTCACTCATGTATACTTACATACATGCATGCATGCATGCATGCATGCATACATACAGACATACATAGCGACATACATACATACAGACATGCGTACATACATACACATACGCACACATACACACATACATACAAACGCACACATATCCATACATACATACATGCATACGCATATCCGTACAAAGATACATACATGCACACACATACACACATACACCTACACACATACAAACATACACAAATACATACATACATGCATCCGTGCATGCACACATACATACATACATACATACATACATACATACATACATACATACATACATACATACACACATACACACATACATACATACATACATGCATGCATGCATGCATGTATGCATGCACTCATACATGCACACACATATGCATACATGCATGTCTGCATGCACACATACATACATATATACATATATATATGCATACACGCATATCCACACATACATACACACACTTACATACATGCATACATACATACACACATACATACACATGCACAGCTACGCACAGACGTGCATGCACTCATACATACATGCATACATGCACATATACTTACATGCATCTACGCACATATACAAGTGTCACGTGCGTGCCCAGGCTCATACAAAAAACTGAAGGGGCGTTTGAAGCAGGAGTGAAATGCAACATCGAAGTCGCACTCGAGCGGACGTGGGGTTGCCACACCTTGCGATGTGTGTACCAGGACCCCCCAGGAAGCCTCAGGAGGCCCGACTTGGATACCAGAAGAGGCTCCAGGAGGCCCCAGGATTGTGAGTGTTGTGCGTGTGTGTGTGTGTGTGATGTATGCTTTGTGTGGTGCGTGCTTTTTGTGTGTGTTGTAGGTGTTATGTGTGTGTGTGTGTGTTATGTTTGTCTAGCGTGTGATGTGTGGGCGTGATTTGTGTCTCTGTGTGCATGTAGTTCTGAAGCCCCAGGAGGCCCCAAGAAGCCCCAGGCGGCCTCAGGAGGCCCCAGGAGACCCCAGGAGGCTTCAGGAGGCCCCAAGAGGCTCCAGGAGGCCGCAGGAGGCCCCAGGAGGCCCCAGGAGGTTTCAGGAGACCCCCAGGAGGCTCCGAGGCGGGGTCTGGGGTGCCAGAAGGTTCAGAAAGCCCCAGGAGGCCCCAGGAGGTTCCAGGAGGCCCCTAGGAGGCTCCGCGGCGGGGTCTGGGGCTCGATTTTGGACGGATTTTTCAAGCGAAACCGCCATTCCCTGAGAATCGGGGTCACAATGATTGAAATTACCATGTGTTTTTGAAGGTTTTATGTTAAACTGTTGAAATTCCCATGTGTTTTTGGACCCTGACGTCACGATCTGCGTGAGGGGTGCCACCGATTTTCAGAATTTCGAGGATGTCCCGAGCGAAACGCCCAGAAAAATCGCGGACGCGTGCGCATTAATCGCCTCTGAGCTCTACTCCCTCGGAGAGGTGCGTATGAATATATATATATATATATATATATATGCGCATCGAAACATGTATATTTATTCATGTGTATATATATATATATATATATTTATGTATATATATATATATATGAACAGCCCCCAACACCCATTCTACGCTTTCTTCCTTTCCACGAGGCTGGAGTCGTGCCGCTCCCCTCTTGTATCCCTTCCCGCTCCGCGCCTCTTCTTCTTCTTCTTCTTCTTCGCTGAAGCCTTCCCCCACATCCGCTAGCGGCATATTTTCCACAAGCGCCAACGTGACAGATGCAAGCGTCTGTTTCTTCTACATAGAGGGGGAACAAGCGTGTGAGCCATCCTGTAGACGAGAAATCAGCAAACCCTGTGATTTCATTTGGGTTCCTGGGGTTGCTATTCAACGAAGCCCTGTGATTTCATTGGGATTCCTGGTATACCTGGGATTGCATACCCTGGAGCACAACCAACCTTGGGATCCCCAGGAGGTTCAAGGCTCAGAATCCCAGGGGCCCCAATGGAATCGCACGGTTCGAGACGTCGGTGATGCGCAAACCTTCTGATTTCATTTGGATTTCTTGGGGTTTCTGGGATGCAAATCAACGAAACCTTTTGATTTCATTGGTATTCCTTGGATTCTTGGGATTCCTGGGATTTCATACCCTGGATCAAAACCAACCGTGGAATCCCCAGGAAGTCTGGGGCTCAGAATCCCAGGAGTTTCAGTGAAATCGCCAGGTTCGAGACGTCGGTGATGCGCAAACCCTGTGATTTCATTAGGATTCCTGAGATTCTTGGGGTGCAAGTCAACGAAAACCTTTTGTTTTCATTGGGATTCCTGCGATTCCTGGGATTTCATAGCCTGGAGCAAAAGCCAACCTTGGGATCCCCAGGAGGTTCATGGCTCAGAATTTCAGGAATCCTAGCGAAATCAGAGGTCTCGCGACGTCGGTGATGTGCAAACCTTATGATTTCCTTGGGATTCTTGGAGTTCCTGGGATTCCTGGGGTTCCTGGATTTCATACCCTGGATCAAAACCAATCTTGGGATCCCCAGGAGGTCCAGGGCTCAGAATCCCAAGATCCGAAATCACAAGGTTTCATTGCTTTGCATCCCAGAAATCCCAAGAATCAAAATGAAATCGTAGTGTTTGCGCATCGCCGGCGTCGCGAACCTTGCGATTTCATGGGGGTTCCTGTGATATTGAGCCCTGGACCTCCTGGGGATCTCAAGGTTGGTTTTGCTCCGGAGTATGAAATCACAGGAACCCCAGGAATCCCAGTGAAATCATAGGGCTTGCGCACCACCGACGTCTCGCACCTTGCGGAGTCATTGGGGTTCATAGGATTCTGAGCCCTGGACTTGGATCCCAAGGCTGGCTCTGCTCCAGGGCATGAAATTCCAGGAATCCCAGGAATCCCACTGAAATCACAGGGCTTTCGTTTATTAGCATGCCAAGAATCCTAGGAATCCATGCGAAATCGTGGGGTTTGCGCATCACCGACGTCGAACCTTGTGATTTCTGATTTCTCGTCTATAGGATGGCTCACACGCTTGTTCCCCCTCTATGTATAGGGAACAGACGCTTGCATCTGTCACGTTGGTGCTTGTGGAGAATCTGCCGCTAGCGGATGCGGGGGAAGGCTTCAGCGAAGAAGAAGAAGAGGCGCGGAGAGGGAAGGGATACAGGTGGAGAGTGGCACGACTCCAGCCCCGTGGAAATGAAGAATGCGTAGAATGGGTGCTGGTGTGGGGCTGCGCACACACATATTTACACACTCAATCTGTACATACATACATGAATCCATATGTGTAGACAGACAGACACACAGACACAGACAGACAGACACACAGACACACAAACACACATACATACACACATGAATTCATGCATACATGCATGTATGCATGCATGCATACGCACACATCCATCCATCCATCCATCAATTCGTACACACATACGCACACACATACACACACATACATACACATACATACATACATACATATGCACACATGCATGCGTTGGCACATACATACATACACGCATACACACACGACCATACAGACATACGTGCATGCATTTATGCATGCGCACATGCATCTATATATAAACATGTGCCCATCCATCCATACATACATACATATAAACATACACACATACATGCATATATACATACACAAACATACACGCACATGTATGCGTGTATGTAGATGTATATATTATTGGGTATATGTATACGTTGATTCATATCTAGATGTGTATGCATATGTATATGAATACGTATATGTATATGTATTTATATATATATATGCATATGTATATGCGTATGTCTATGTATATGTATATGTACATACATATAATATGTATACGTATATGCAGATGCATACGTATACGTGTATGTATATGTCTATGTATATGTACATATGTCGATATGTATGTATGTACGTATATACTCATACATGTACATGTACACGCACATGTCTATGTATAGATAACCACCTCTCAGAGGTGCATCTGCATATGTATATATATTTATGTATTCGTATATGATTATGTATTTATATATATGTATACGTGTATGTATATGTATATGTATATGTATATGACCTGTATATGAATATGTAGAGGTATATGTAAATGTATATTTAGACGTATATGTATATGTATATGTATATATATATGTTTATGTATATGTATATGTATATGTAGGTGTCTATGTCTATGTCTATGGTTTATATATTTGTATGTGTATATATATATATATGTGTATGTAGATGTGTATTTGTGTGTAGCTGTATGTACATACGCTCGCCACAAACAAAGCAGCGAAGACATGGTGCCCGACGAGTTTGGAGGATCGCGCCGATCGCGGGTGCGTTTGCGGGGCGTCGCGATCCAGACCCCACCCTCCCGCGCCCCGCCGCCGCCCTGTGGCCCTCCGGCCCCTGGAGCCGATCGTGCGGCGGTGCGCAGGGGCTGAGCGCGGCGCGACCGAGGCGCGAGCGACACGGGCAGGCACGAGGGCGCGAGGCGACACGGGCAGGCACGAGGGCGCGAGCAAGCTCGGGACGGGTGGCGAATGTTCTTTCCCCCCGTCGGTTGCCTCGGTCGGGGTGCAAGAGTGCGAGACGAGGAGCGAGCATGCGGGGAAACAGGGCGAGGAACCCTCGAGGGGGACAGGGTACCAATGCCGCTGCCGCTCCCCTCGTGTTCGCCCTCTGGGGCCTCCTGGGAGGCCCTCGTCGCCACCGCTGGATTCGCCCTGAAGTTCTGGTCAGAACGCACTCCAGGAGAGGTCCGCGGAGTAGCAGTATTGGTACCTCATGGCCTCCCCAGAATGAGGAGGAAGGGCGAGCAGGGTGCGAAGAGCAGAAGGTTGGGCTGGGGGCTGAGACATTTGGGAAGAGCGAAGGAGACGGAGGAGCACGAAGAGGGAAGGAGCAGGAGGGCGCGCGCAGGTGCCTTTATGGGCGGCAAGGGCATGCCGCTCCCGCAGGCCATCCCTCCCGTCTCCTGTCCCACCTTGCCAATCCCGCCCCC